ATGCTGCTAAACTACATCGCGCAGAGCAGCCCTGCACAACATGTGGTCCAGATGGCAGTGCTTTCGCGGTTGAGAACCCTGCCCTAGTCACAGTTACCTGTACTAAGGAAATGCCTAGACCACTTGCATTGGCCTCCCAAGTGGTTCCTGTGCTTCTTCTCTGCATTCCCTGCAAGCCACTTCTCACATAGTAGCCAGACTGGGACTTTTAAGCACATTTATAGAGCAGCGCACTCTTCTGCTTGCAATCTTCTACTGGTTTCCCGTCTCAGTAGAATAAAATCGAAATGCCTTGTGCTGGCTTCCAAGGCTCCCTCTTATCTGGTCACTAGCTACCTCCCTTCCTTCCTCTCCCACCACACTGCCCTCCTGCTGAGTACTCCAGCCACACTGACCTCTCTGTTTTTCATACATACCGAGCGCTCTGACCTCGTTACCTTTGCGTGCTCTTCCATATAGCTGTGCCTTCTCGTCTTTCAGATTCCAGCTTGCGGTCTGTGCTGGGCACTCAATCTAGATTCCTCCAGCATGCTATCATATTGCCTATTTTATTTTTAAAAACGAACCTACAGTACCTGATAGTTTTTCTTTTTTGATTAACTTTTCAACGCCTTACCCTGTCTTGTTCACACACGTTTAGTTATGTTCCATAATAAGCATGCAGTAAATACTGGTTGAATGGATGACTGTGTTTATTTCAGCATGTAGCCTTTGGACTGCTCCAACTTCCTGCAGATGCTCGCAGCCTCTGGCTTCACCCACGCAATGGCGTGGATGCCACCTTACTAACTTCTGCTTAAATGCCCCTGAACCACTTTCAACGGGTTCTCGGCATGCTGGTTCCCCATCATGGCAGTGTGATGTGGCCTCTGCCACATGGCTTTCCTGGGTTTCATCACAGAACACTGTCATTGCCACCACCCCACTGCCTTGGGGAAGGGGACAGNAGAGGTCCAGCTATTCTTAGGGGAGTGGGCAGTACAGAGGACTGAGTCATTTTGACTCCTGGTTCATGGCATAGGAGCATCGTCAATTTGTGCAAAACCCCTTTCTTGTTTTATTTCTTTATGCATTTTTTTGTGTGTCCCTGTGCCCCACTTTCATGCTTCCTCACAGAAACCGTTTTAATAAGTTCCATATGTATCTTTTGTTTGCATATGTCCTGGCAAACTTTGGAGCATTGTTTTTGTGTGCATGTATTTTCCCGTAATGTAAATGGCTCTGTGTTAACGTGTTTTGTTTCTCATTTTCACTGAGCACTGTTTGTAAGATCTGTCCATGTTGCTATGTGGTCTGTTGCTCTTAACTGCTGCAGTTACAAGCAATGGGTCTGAACATTTCACATCTAAAAATTCAGAGAATGTATTAGTATGTAAGCGTGAAAACCCTGCCCCATATTTCAGCCAAGGCAGAGACGAACGACTCTACAAAGTGTGTTTGAAGGCAGTTGTCGGGGAAAAAAAGGTCTTTTATAGTTGTACCCCATCAGGTTCAGTTCTTTTAATGAACCAGCTACAAATGTGTTCAATGCTGTATTCACACAGATGAATCAGGCACCTGTGATGATTAAGATTCTGGCCTCCAAAAGGTCTGGGGATAAACAGTATAATAAAAGGTATTGTAACATAAGGCTATTCTGAGAGCTACAGAAAGAAAGGACATGGAGGATCAGAGGAGGGAGTGAGACCTTCAACCAGGGACAGTAGGAGAAAGAAGAGGGAGAATTAGAATTGGATTTTAAAGCATAAACAGCAATAAACAGGATATTGATAGAGAGTGCAGACAACACAGTAGTTGGGAAAGTAACAAGAGCAGAGGGATACCAGTTAGAAGCACAAGTACAGCTGTGAGGTGGCAAGTAGAATTTCCCCCCGTCTTCCTTCCTTCCTTCCTTCCTTCCTTCCTTCCTCTTCCTTCTTGCCTCCCTCCCGCCCCCTCTCTCTTCTTTCCTGGTTTTGTTTTCTCTCTCTCTTTTTTTTTTTTTTTTTACCTCAAGCAAAAGATAAGTTTATCTTAGTTTGTTGGTTAATGGTTTGCTTTAAGTAGTCTGTAATCCAGAGTGATGATTATTCCCTGATAGTTAGACTCCTTGTTATTCTCAGACACCAAAATGAGGCAGTGTTGGGCATCTAAATTTAAGTCAAAAGGCGTATGTGTTCTTGTGTGTGGAAGGAATAGGTGTTCCTGTTTTGCACTGTTAAAGTGGCAATTTTCATATTTTGAGCCCATGCTTTGGATCCTAATATAATTGCTTACCCTTTCATTTCATATATTTTGTAAAAATAGAAAAGAAACACTCAACTTCCTTTGCTACATTATGGAACACTTAGGCTGTGATTGGTGATGGGTTTACTGGGTTTTTGCATTTTTCCTTCAACCTGACTTAATAGGACCTCCCTGAGGCATTTAAACTCCTTATAATAAACACTGAAGCACTGTGATGTGTATTAATGAACTCTTAACTTGAAATGTTCCTGTTCATCACACTGATTCTGCCTTCTTCCTAACAATATTCCTCACAAATTAATTCATGCCTTCATTTGTCCCTGGTAAAACATCTGATGTGCAGAGTTACATACACGTTGGTGTCAGCTCAGTAGGTCACAAGTCATGGAGGAGGGAGCCTTGTGTCAGTTCAGGGAATTTAATGTCGACATTATTTGTGTGGGGGAAGGGATGTTGAAATTTCAAGTCAACAGTGGGGTTCTGCAATCAAAATTTTGGAAGCTAAACACTAAGTTCCAAACGGGAGTGCCTTGCCTTGCTACAGACTCAGCAGGGATCTCGCTCAGTTTCATCCTGTCTCCTTTTCTTTCAGAGCATGTCCTCAAGGCCCTGCCAGAATACCATGTGGTGGCCCCTGTCCGAGTGGATGCCGGCGGTCGCTTTCTGTCCTATGGCTTGTACCACCCCTTCACCAGCAGCAGGAGGAAGAGAGACTTGGATGGCTCAGAGGACCGGGTGTATTACAGAATTTCACATGAGGAAGAGGACCTGTTTTTTAACTTGACGGTCAATCGGGGATTTCTATCCAAAAGCTACATTGTGGAGAGGAGATATGGGAACCTGTCCCATGTGAAGATGGTGGCTTCCTCGGCCCCCCCCTGCCATCTCAGGGGCACGGTTCTGCAGCAGGGTGCCAGAATCGGGACTGCAGCCCTCAGTTCCTGCCATGGACTGGTGAGTGCCTGGGTCCATCGCCTCTCTCCTCTGCCCCCAGACTCCTGGCACCTTGACCTGCACACCCACTGCCAATGGGTTCACAGGAGCATTCAATGCATGCCTGTTGAGCACATAAGATGTGCATGGTCCTGGCCTGCAAACGGGTTGGGGAGAAAGTGCATAAAATGAAAAGTAGATCAATCTGGGAGGTATGGGGAGTTAGGGCTCTAAAGTAGCCCCTCTGCCCAGGTGATGCTAGCCTGCAGCCAGGGTTAAGAACTGCTGGCTGCTCTCAATGGCTCCTTACTTTTATCCGGTGTTTTCTAAGGCAAATGGAATACTGTTTAGCATAATGCCAGACTTGGGAATAGAATAATGGGACCTTTTCAATTTCAAATGGCCCCAGCAAGCCATGAGAACCACCATGTGGACATTTTCAGGTTCATACCAAGTGCCGGAGCACAAAGAAGCAACTATTAGCTAATGGAATAAAGTGGTAGTGGCGAAGATGATGAAACATTTTTAGATCCAAATCACTGATTTTTGCCAGAAGAACCAATCCATAGGGATCCTTTTGGAGCCTTTCACATATAATTGGACAACTAATGGATGGTTATAAAAAAAGGCTCCAAAAGCCAAATGAGTTGCTTTCCTTTCTCTGAGCTTACAAGCTGGCTGCCGTCAAGTTCACGTGTTCATGTGCCCTGATTTGCCAAGGCTCACCTGGAGTGGTCCTAGTCAAAAGGATGGTGGTTGGACTTGTGTCTGATTTTTCCTGATCCGTTGCCTGGGTCGTGATCTCCAGGGTCTTTACTTTGCCTTCCACCCAGGGGTGACCCCACACTTGGGTTGACCGGACGGCAGGTGTAGGCTGTGCTGGCTCCCACCACGCCTAGGGAGTTTTCTGATTCTGAATGACTCTGGTAGAATGATAGCAATTTCTTCTGTGCTGAACCTCACTGTCTTCCCTGTTGCTGAAAGATGGAGCCTGGTGGGATGAGCATGTTTTATTCCCAGGGGAGATTTGGGTCATCAATTCAGGGTGTGTTTGCTCTGCTCCGGTGTAACCTAAGTTTCTATGCCTCATTAGTATGGCCTATGATTTCTTTTCAGTCTGGAGAACGTCAGTGCCCTTTTATTTGAATCCCTTCTTAAAGGCTTTAAAGTGTGCAACCTGTCTGGAAAGATTTTTAGCAAGAACCTTCTGTTTAGTGATTGCTTTAACCCTAATGTGCCCCTTGCAAACTATTCCTACATGGAAAATTTGGACAATCACATTAGTCATCCCTGCTTGCCTCACACTGTTGTTGTAGGTAAAGGCTTCAGAACAGTGTAGGAAATACTCCAGTTCTCTTGTTGGCTTAGTAACGGTAGCTGACCCTCCCCACTCACATTGTTGGGACACTTCAGTACGTCTGCTCTTGTCAAGTCATCGGTGAACTGT